TAATTTTTTAACTTCCTATGATAGCAGACATGTTGCTTTATGTAATTTCGCTTTCCTTACCATGCCAAACCATAAGATTTGACTGTTTGAGCTCTTAGACTCTGGACATCGAAATTTTGCTGATTTAGGTGAGTTTAAACTTTCATTTTAAGGTATTATAATTTATTTCCCTATGCACTTAATGTATACGGTACTAGATGATCCTAAATGTCTTACGGACTTGGCTTTTCTTGTTGAGATGAATGTACTAAAGAAGTTACAAGGCCAGAGGCAGCTTGTCAGTGTTGCCTATGACAATGTCAGGGCACTCTGCACAAAACGTGTGTTGTGGAAAGCCCAGCTTTCTGAAAGAAACCTCTGCCATTTTCCAACATGCAAAGTACTCATGGACTCAGGCACACCATTCAGTAATAAGTATACTGATGCCATTGAAAAGCTACAGGAAGAATTTTATCACAAGGTTTACAGACTTCAAAACACATAGAGCCACTTTTCAACTTTTTGCTGACCCTTTCTCCTTAAATGTGGAAGTTGCCCCCCTGCGCTTCAAATGGAGCTGATTGAACTTCTGAAATTCTGAACTCAAGGCTAGGTTCAGGGAGGTGAAAAGAAAAACAGATAAGCTTAGACTTAGACAATTTATGAGAGAATTGCCCTTCACCTTCCCTGAGATATCCAGGTTGTTCAAGCGGATCATGTGCCATTTTGGAAGTACCCATCTGTGTGAAAAGCTCTTTTCCCCTATGAACTTAAACAAGTAAAAGTTCAGGGCCAAACTTACTTATGAGCATCTTCAAGCTATACTGAGGGTCTCAGTTGCTTCCTCATTCAAGCCACATGTTACTTAGCTATGTAAGAAAAAGGGCTGCTAGGTTTCTGGCAACAAGTAGAAGAAGAAAGTAAGTGAAGCCTAGTTCTTGAGAACCCTAAATGTTTTATTTGTTATCAATAAAGTTTGAGCAGATTGTAACAGCTGTACTTGAATTTGTAATCACTTTTTTGTGTGGATTACTTAATGCCAAGCCCAGTTTCACTCAGACTCTACATCCTGCAGCCCGGCTAATTTGAGTTTGAAAACTCTTTTGTAAGGGAAGAACTTTTTCTCTGGCAACAATGCATCTGGTCAGTGTAATTGAGAAACTCACCCAATTTGCCCAATATATTGACAAAGTGTGGTTACAAGTAATACTAGTGGCGTGGCAGCAAGCTTAACTGTAAGTCTTGTCACTGTGGCCTACTTACTACTTATTTAATAATTAAATTTAAAAATTAAAAACAAAATTAAAACAAAATTTTAATTAATTAATTACAAATAAGTGATGAGTCAGCATTTTTATACATTTTTTAATAGGCAAATAATAAAGTTGTTTTTTTTAATATTTGCGGCACATTAACAAAAACTAACGCATATTTTGTGGCTTTATTTAGAAGCACTCTTATTTAACTATGTTCCCTGTAAATATTATATTTTTGTCTCATTTTATAATAAAGTTATAGGCGTTTAAAAAAAAAAGCAAAATGAGGGTCACAAAATGTGGAGGAAAATCCCATAGTAAAAAAGTGGTTTTGAGGTCCCTACTAAAAAATTCATAACTTTTGAACCACTTGAGCTAGAAAGTTGATCTTGGTGTTTTTGTAATCTATTCTCCAGGCTCTATACAGTTGTAGTATTTTTATATTTTTAAAACGAAGTGATTATTCACAGAGCTGTGCGGATGACGCTCGCCGTTATTCGCAGATTTCGGTCTGCCGATAACGCTGGACATTATTCGCAGAATGTAATAAATTAAATTATGAATATACAATACAAAGTTCGCATTTCAGCATCTCTCAGGTAGTGTTGTGGTCAGTATCTCCGCCTGTCACCCGGAAGATCAGGGTTCAATTCCCCTTTTATAAATACATTTTTAAAAAAATAAATATTTAATGGTTATTTCGTATCGTTATATTATAATTTTATTCTTCAAATAGCTTTCTTATTTTGTTCACATAGTTTTATTATTATTTTCATATAGTTTTGTTACTAATGTTACACTTTTTATTTATACAATTTTATTATACTTTTCATTGTGTCCAACAACGTAAGTATTCGAAATTCTAGTTTCAATTTATTTTGTTAGAATGTTCATTCAAGTTTCGTCAAAAAACTCTTAACAACATGGACATGCAGATGAGCCGCATATAACATGTTTAAGTCAGATACAGCTGTTCTAACTGTACATTGTGATATACTTTTAGCTCTTTTGACTGTTTAATTTTCTTTGTATAATTCCACTCATGGACTTTAACATCCATTTGTTATTTCTCTAATTAACAAATAAATATTAATAACTTACTTATTCAAATATTTTATATCTCAGAGTTGTGTATTAATGTTTAGCTGAAAAAATATGTCACGCTTTATTTGTTTCATTTTATTTCTAATAAGTATCATAATAAGTAGGGACACAATATGCCGCTCCAGAAATAGTTGAAATAACATTTAGTGATGACAATGAAATGAACATACCGGTACTGTACTTAAAACATATCAATATCATTGACATCAACAATTTTAGCTCTTGTAAAAAAAATGTTGATAATTGAAACAAAAAGCCATACTGCCACTGTTGTAACTATGGGTCTAAGTCTAAATAAAAAAAGCATACAAAAATTAATTGGAACCCAGCTGGTCGTAGGATGCTTTGCGAGTCTTTGGGAAGTAAAGTTCCCTTGGGGCAATTGAAGCAGCGTTTACAAGTTTGAGTGTATGGCCAGCGCAATAACCAGCCACCCTTACTTTTCCCAGCTAAGGCCAGAGCTGGGTAGACTTAGGGACACCCTCAAGGATGAGGAAAAAAAACTAGCCTTAAACTTAAACAGAATTAGATTCTGTTATTATCGATGTAGGGCCTATATGCCCCTCCCCGTCTCTCACATGGCCGCCTGATGCAGCCACCTCTCTGCATCATAACACTGTTGCACGGCATGTCAACTATTTCTGACAGAACATTTCTGGACTAGGTGATATATCATAGTGCTTTTAAAAAAAATAAACGATATCCTATCAAGCTTTGACATCATTTAAAGACATCTCTACAATGGGTGAAAATGAGTCTACATGAAGAATACCGGTACCATTTTTATTACTGGTATAACATTTAATATGAAATACCAGAAAATTAGTCATGTCTAGGAGTAGGAGGTTTGACTGGATCTATTAGTAACACTCTATAGGTCGAATAGACCCTATGTTGACCCCTAACAGAGCAGATGTAGGCACAATTAATTGTCCTATATCCTATATATAGGCTATAGTTAGGCCTATTAAATTTTTTTAAATTTAACTTGTGCATACCGGTAGTTTCGTCGGTTTTGAGATGTGTTTGTGCCATTCTCATTAACGATCAATCTCTCCTACACTACTTAAAACTACACCCCTACCCCGGCTTGGAATGTGATCTTAATTATTTCCAGAAATTTGCGTAATTATGGGAAAATTTCTGTCTAACAATAATAATAATGCTCTTTATTATTCGAAGATTTCAGTCTGCCGATAACGCTGGGCGTTATTCGCAGATTTGGGTCTGCCGATAACGCTCAACGTTATTCACAGAGCTGTGTGAATAACGATTCCCTTTTTAAAAATGTTTTGAAATTTTCATCAAAGTGGCTACCATATATTTATTACCAGTACTTACTTAAACTATTAAACTTAAATTACTTATAATAACTATAACCTATAGTATAGGCTATATATAACACTTACCTGCCCAATGATTTTTTTTCTTTGCCATTAGGGCTAAATAACAATTTTTGAACTTAAATGCAATAACAATGTTACTAAGGTGTAAATTAGTGCAAACAAATATATTTTGGGGTAACAGATATATTATATTAATAACGGTAGCTCACCTGCCACCTGGTTTAAGTCAGTAATTAGATTTAAGTTTGACCGTAAGTTTAAGACGGTCGTCAGAGTCAGAGATAGACTTTCACTTTCTCAAACTCAAGTTCTTTAACTTTCATCCCCCGCTTTTCATTTCAACTGCTAAACATACTACTATACCACCAACTTGGCAATTTTATGATCCCTTGAGTCAGATTGTTGACAATAAGAGTTAAGCCAAATTTTCTAACGAAGAGAGTTCCACTTTATAAGGGGGCGGCTGTAAACTAATACATCAAAGGCTGTGTTTACTGCCATCCGTAAACAATGCGGTTTATTTACGGGACCCAATAATGCATTTACCAAAAATGCAATGTTAAAAATGTAACACGTTTATGTGGTGTAAAATGTAGTCATACAGTAAGAGATGTACTTAACACAGAAGTTACCTAAATTAATACTTTTAAAAATGATATTTTAAATTAAAAAGCATTACTTAACTCAAGTAAATAACAAGTAGGCTGGATATAATTTTAATTATCTATTACTATTTATTAGGTCTAATCATTCTGTTACAGGAGAAGACTTTTTATAAATTATATCTTCTACGAAAATATTTTGGGAGCCGTAGACAGAGGCTGAGTATTAAAATTTCATTATAGATTAATATTTATAAAGAGCCGCATCTATTCTTCTAAAAGGAGCTGTATTTGGCTCCATCGCCGGCTCGCCGCGGGTCTCCGACCACGACCACTGGTCTAGTAAATAAATAAGACCGTAAAACACTAAAAATGTATTTGTTTGAGTTTTTTACCATTATCACATGTATTCATTTTGATTGACTTATTTTTCTAAAAGTTACTTTGATTGCATTCATGCTCAGTTCAAACAATTATTTTCGATCATACATTTGATGTGATTTTTGTCTTTTGTATGAAACCTTTTTACAACTGTCAAATTACTAATTTATTATTACCCGGTATTATTTTTTTAAAATTATATTTGAGGGCCCACGATATGATCATTCTGGTCAATGAGTCCCATCCACCAGTGGTGTTTGGGATTTTTGATAAAATATTCATGTTTGTCAAAAAAAAAATAATAATAATAATAAACCGCGGCGATAGTTTTTAGTATAATAGGTTCACCGCCGCGGTTATCGTAGCCATTTCAACCAAACAAAACAGCGAAATTTACTTCAGACCTCAATTTACTTGTCAATTACTAATGCTCAGTTATTTTAGTTGAAATTTAAAGGCGTATTCCAAAATACATAAATGAATGTTCAATTTGTTCAATTACCACCTCCATATGAACCACCCCCAAAGTGGATTCCAGCAGAAGAAGTTGGTTTAGCTGCTAAGTACTGCTAAGGCAGCCTAAGGCATAATTCATAATATAAGGGCTAAGGGCCTAATGACTTAGGCTTAATACTTTTAGTTTTAGGAGAGGCTTAGTTAGTCTTAGGCTTGAGTTAAGAATGAAAACTTAAGTTAAGAGTTAAACCTTATGTCAAGGCAATTAAATTTTAATTAACTAAGTCTAAGCAATTATTCAGTTACAATGAATGGTAGGAACTTGGGCTAAGGTGAAGAGATAGCACCCTGACGTCTTTTACGTGTTTTGCCCCTGGTTTCAATAGGGTCAAAACCCAGGTTAGGGATAAGTTTAGGGTTCAGGTTAGGTTTAGGGATAAATTTAGGCTTAGGACATAAATTTGCCATGGCATGGTAAACAAATGCGATGCTATCTCTTCACATTTAGCGGAACTTGAACGCAATTTCATTGATAGTATGCTATTTATGCTATAGTATGCCTTATTTTTAAACTTATATATATGTAATATACTTAAATTTAAATTAGACTAAATAATATTAATTATATGATTACTAATATGGCCCCATAAAATAAGCATCTATACACAACTTCCTTCCCTCTTGTCTGCACTTACATACATGTTGTTTCCCCCCCCCCCCCCCCACCGGCTGTGGACATCCTCATCACAAAAATTTACAGGAAAAAATGATTATAAAGAGCAAAAAGTCACTAGATTTAAACTTTTGAATAAGTATGGTTCAGGTCCATCCCCATATTGCATTTGTATTGAAGGGAGATGGGCAATACAATGTTCCTTCTAAGATGCATGCGCGGAGCGCCCATGAGGTTGGAGCGCAGAAATAAATAGGGACACTGTAAATTTAATTAAGAAAAAATAGTACGTTTTTTTTCTATTATTTTTTAAATTGTACAAATAATTAAATTATTTTGCCAATAGCAATTGATGCTGTCAGACTGTCATATGCATCATTGGTCAATGCCCGAGGCATAACCTGGTCCCAATTTGTTCATATTCATTAAAATTCAATTCCAATTGGTGATCTCAAATCTTATCTAAAAACAAAAGATTTGTATAAACACAATCATGTCAAGAGGCACCGATATTTCCACCAGAATTTCTTCCGTTGCTCTCCAGTTAAGTTTTTATAAATAATTATAATTTATATATTATAAAGAGTAAAGAGCTACTTCTCATTTAAAATCTTTACAATTTATTTATGTGTGTGACGAAACATGTCAGAAGTGTTATCATTTACAATTGTATGTATTAAAAATAAATAAATATGTACCAAACTTATTTGATAGGTGTAATGACTTGTGGCCCGCGAACAGTTGATTTTATTTGATAAATATAATGACATGTGGCCCACGAAAAGTTGACTTTATTTGATAGATTTAATGACATGCCGCCAAGGAAAGTTGATTTTGTTTGATAGTGGCCAGAGAACAGTTGCCTTTATTTGATAATGTAATGACATGCGGCTCGCAAAGAGTTCACTTGCAATAAAATGGAATGTGAAACCATTTTGTTTGGCCACCTCTGCTGTAGTCTGTATGATTGTATTTATAAATAGTGGTTAACTCTCGGGAATGAAAATTGCTAATTTTCATATTTTACATTACAAGTCGTGGTTATGGCGTGCATTCATTTTTGCTCTTTTCAATATATTGCGCAAAACAAATCTTGGCGCTTAGCTCCTCCAAAACTTAGATGGAACATTGGGGATGAGGGAAGTTGATTTGAGAGATTTTGGATACTGTATGGCGGGTGGGGAGGTTCAGGAGAAAGCAAGTATACTTAATAATTAGTCAGTGACAAATTTAAGGCCACTGTTTGGGATTCTATGCATGTAACATAAATTGTAAAAAATTATTTCGTTGGGCTGAATCAAACAGCTGCACTGGCGGGAAAAAAATTGGGACTTGGGGGGTACCTGTAATAGTATAATAAGATATGAACTCAAGGCTGTTTTCTGTGTAACAATTAACTTTATTCTCAACTCTACATTCTTTTTATACCCCACATCACATGACCACTTACCCCAGTTATCCAATCAATTCTCACTCATTTGAGTTTAGATACTCATGAAAACAACTCATCATGTCCAGTCTATACAACATGACAAACACAAGACAATCAGGTCACTAAGTTCAGTCAGGACACATGACAACGATACTGGTCCAACAGTCACTATTACTAGTACCATTCACTATTACTGGTACCGTTCATTATTACTAGTACCGTTCACTATTACTAGTACAGTTCACTATTACTAGTACCGTTCACTATTACTAGTACCGTTTAGTTTACTATTACTAGTACCGTTCACTATTACTAGTACCGTTCACTATTACTAGTACCGTTCACTATTATTACTAGTACCGTTCACTATTATTACTAGTACCATTCACTATTACTAGTACCGTTCACTATTACTAGTACCGTTCACTATTACTAGTACTGTCACAGGACCCATGACACACATTTTAACATACTTATTGCAGTGCTTCCAAAACATTTGTTTAACCAAAAATGTTTCAATGTAGCGGTGTGGAATAGAGAAAAAGTCGGGATATCTTGCCAGAGATTAGCTGTTTTTTTAACAATCAGACCAGATAATTTAGTTTCTACTACAAGTTTTTCACCTTAGAAATCACATAAATCTGCATTGACATATCGAACTTTAAGAAATAAATTATAGTAAACTGTTTTTTTAATAAAACATCTGCATTTGTAAATTTAATTTTTTTTCCTAGCCTATTAATTATTGAGATTCTTATTTCTATAATTTGTGTATTCAGAGAAGATTCAACAAAGACTACAACAATGATCTTCGCACCTTTTTACCTCGCACTTTAGTCTTAAAAAGATTAAAAGCAGCTGATGCGGTGAGTTGATTTACAAGCTAAAAGTATTCTCTATACAAATAGATTTCAAAGTTTTCTTTTCTTCTTACTTTGAAAAATGCTTACATAAAAATTCACAAGGAACCATCCATAAAAAAATTTCTACTATCATATTTGGAACATCCCGTTTAGAGACCAACCGAATGTAATTTTCTGGTTTCGACTGAAACCAAACTGAAAGTCAAAAATGACTTTTGGCAGAAACAGAAACCAACACCCAAACTGACAGATGTATAACCGAGCACAAAAGTTTAAAAACTATGTCGTGAAACAATGATGCAATAAAAAATTCAACATTATCAACAATCAAAATACACAATTCTCTATATAACAATGTCACTAACGCTACCAAATAGGTCATCATGCAGCTGTAAGCAGTGTTCACAGAGGATTAGTCATATATAATACTCTGACAGCAAGACGTTGAACAATAAATGAATATCAGAGTGACAGTCTTACATCTGGTAGACGACTGAAAATCTAAATCATTTTCAGACAAAACCAAAAAATCAACTGAAAGTTAACATTTCTGTTTTGGCCAAAACTTTACTGAAAATGATCATATGGCAACTTTCGTTGCAGGTTGCTGAAACGGAAATTCAGTTGGCCTCTTATCCCCTCCACCTCTTATCTACCTCTTTATCCAGTAGATTCTTTCTGATTATTCATTCCATTTAGTTTAGATTGATGTGTTATCATAAATTTGTTACCATCCACATTTACTTACAAATTACTTCAGATCTATAGGGACTGATCATTTTTGTATTCAATTAACTCAATATAATTAGTGCCCATTGCACATAACATAGTTACATGAAAGTCAGATCTCGCTGTCATGTAAAACTGAAACAATTTGAATTTAGTATTTAGCAGTATTTAGGTGGAAAATACACGACCTCATATCCAGAATCTGGCAGGAGGAAGACATGCCAATAGAATGAGACATTGCATTTATAATCCCTATTCACAAAAAAGTTGGTCTGCTAAAACTACAGAGGAACCTCCTTAAAACCGATTTAAAAAACACATCTAGAAATGTATAGAAATGTGTAGCTTTTAGGGAAATAATTCGCCCTTGTAGAGCTGATCTTGATGTTAAATTGATGAAATGGGTGGGGCCTATCCTACAAATCCTTTTTTAGTTTGACAAATGCATTTAGCTTCAAATAATTCTTCAATGGAAGATAGCTTTCTTTGTTTTTAATCACTTTCATGATAATGCCACTTGATCGTGGTTTGATGAGAAATGATCAATTCCCACACCAGATGGTTAAACACAAGTTATGTAAGCTTCCAACTGTTGCACTGTAAAATATGTAATAATTAGTTTGTAAATATGTTTTTTTAAAGAAAAGTATTTGACTTTTTTTTTAGTGATTACAAGTGCTAGGCCTGCTAATTTATATTATAATACAGAATTATGAAGTTGGCATGAATTAAAAATTAACAATTCAGCTTTTGGAAATAACAATTTTTCTCGTCAATTAAGCTAAAAGCCTTTTTTTTTCAGCAAACATTTACATTTACATTGCCTTAAAACTTAATCAGTTAATCTTTGTAGCTTCAGTGAGCGACTTGGACGATTTGTCTAGGGACATCAACCTGTGGAGTCATGTTCTTGTAAACTTATGTCCACTTAATTCTTTTTAAATCTATTCTTAAAATTGACACGTTTCATTTCCATGTCCTCAGAAACTTCATCGATTTCCACAGGAAATTTATATGAATTAAATATCCCATTTTCCCTACCCCCACAGCTGCTGACCTGTTACATGCATAACATACCTCTCCCACCCCAATCCATATGGATAACTTTTCCCTAATGCCTAATGAATAGCCTTTGATTAAATGTATAATGTTTAAGAACGTTTTATTTTGTATTGCTGTAATATAATTTATTTTATGATAATATTAATAATTGTAATTATTTTTTAACAGCTAGGCTTTAATATCCGAGGTGGAAAGGAGCACAATTTTGGTTTCTATGTTTCAAAGGTGATTATTACAACCTTATATGTTTAATTAAATGCTTGAACTAAGATTAATTCTTAAAGTGCGTTCAAATGAGATAGTTTTTTAAGTTTAAAATCAGGGAATTATAAAATTGTATAAAATCTGCGTGGGTTTTTTGGATTGAATCATTAATGTATGTATACGGATCATAAACACTAACAAAGTGTCCATTTTCTCTAATCTTTGAAACTGGGCTTTACAATTAACATTCAAAAACTATTCTTTTTTTTTCGGATTTAAATCTATGGCTTGGATGGGGTTAGTTACACTTTTGAAGTTACAGGTTAGCGTTAGGGTGGGCCAAGGTTTGTTATAATTTTGAAACTGAAACAAACAAAAAAACACCAAAGAAATAATCTTTTTAAAAATCTCAACAGGGAGCATTTATAAGATAAAAATGTAGGCACCTAATAATCAGTTATAATATTAAAATGAAAGCACCTGATACAAGTCTGCCAATCTTTGCTTCAACTCGTTCACTGACCCTCACTTTCCTGTCTATCTCTCTGAACTGTTGCTTCCTTACATCCCCACAAGACAACTACGTTCTTCCATTGACAGTAGAACCCTCTCAATCCCAAGAACTAAAACTAAGACCATCGGTGAACGCTCCTTCTGCTTCCATGGGCCCACGTTCTGGAACCAGCTCCCCTTCCATATACGTCATAGTGAAACCTCGTCCATTTTCAAAAAGTCCCTTAAAACTCATCTGTTTAGGTCCGCCTATGACCTGTGATGCACCCTCCTTGCCCTACCTCATTTTCTGTTTCGGGTTGATCCTGAAGTGTCAAAGTGTCCTCGTTTTATAGCCATTTTCATTGTTTCTATAGAATAGTAGTTACTATCCTAGTGTCTCATTTGTATTTACTTAGTTTACATGTTTTAATAATTGTAAAGCGCTTAGAGCTTTATGATAAGCGCTATATAAAAATGCCTAAATAAATAAATATTCAGTTATAAGATTAAAATGAAAGCTCTTACTATTCAGTTATAAGATTAAAATGAAAGCACCTAATATTCAGTTATAAGATTAAAATGAAAGCAGCTAATATTCAGTTATAAGATTAAAATGAAAGCACCTAATAATTCAGTTATAAGATTAAAATAAGGCACCTACTATTCAGTTATAATATGAAAATGAAAGCACCTAATATTCAGTTATAAGATTAAAATGAAGGCACCTAATATTCAGTTATAAGATTAAAATGAAAGCACTCAATATTCAGCTATAAGATTAAAATGAGGCACCTAATATTCAGTTATAAGATTAAAATGAAAGCACCTACTATGTGAGTACTGGTATGAGTTTCAATTTTGTCTCCTCTACCAAATTTTTTCAAGCTTGGAGTTGAGGTTTTTTTGTGTTCTTCTTTTGCACACACTAAAGTATCCTGAATTTTTTTTAAGTGTTATTTTAAAAATACTTGTTTTAATGCATTTATTTCATTACCCTTGAGATTTATTTTAATTTGAATCAATTTAGATAAAGTTAAAAGAAAAAACTTTTCTAGTTGACCTGATTTGCACTAACTATATCTCGTAAATTGTTAACAGTTTAAGTACTACATAACTCCAATTGTTTAGGTAATGCCAGGCAGTGAAGCAGCAAATCTAGGTATCCAAGAGGGTGACCAAATACTTAAAGTGAATAACATTGATTTTAATACATTAGATCATGCAGAGGTGAGTTGCATCTTTATCTGTATCATAACAGAAGATTTTATACTCTTGAAAATAAATATAATAATATAACTGTTATAGCCTGTGTGTTGATTTAGTTTTTTTTTCACCACGAGCCGTGGCATGCAACCTTATCTCCCACCTTTTGCTTTTGAGATTAATGTCACTTTAAATATGTAGCGCTCTACTATTACTCACCCCTCCCATGATTGGGAAAAGGTTGTTTATAATGTATTTTCTAAATGGAAGGTAATTTCTAGAATTTCTGTTCTGGTGGGTTCTAACTTCCTCCCCATAAATAAGCCGTCAGTTTTCCCAGCCGAGAGTGATTTGCTAGATTTACTAAACTAAATATATTTATAATGAACCTAAAAATATTGTATTCTTTGTGTGTGTGTGTGTATTGATATTTGTATCTTTCGCGTCATGTACTTTTTCACTTGCTGTGGTGTAAGTTGATTAAGTTTTTATTTATGTATATTTGATTTTCTATTTTTATATAAACTTAATAACGTACCGTAATAGTATAATTACATTGAATACTGTCAATATCAATAGCTTTGGTATCGTTTTTCTTTGTAAACTGGTTTTCAGTCCTTTGTTACGTATTGGTATACTTCATCTAACAAGCCAAATCCTTAAATTACATTAAATTTGCAAAACCATGTACGTAACAAACTAATTATAAATACTGGTATAATAATTACGTTAATATGTAAAGAAAATATTTTTAAAAAAAATATTTTACCTCTTGTTTTAATTAAATATTGTTAAATATTTTTTTTTCTGTAGGCAGTTAAAGTTTTGAAGTTCAGCACCACAATAGAAATGCTAGTGCGATACTTTCCATTTGGTAATACTAAAATACATTTATTGATACCTAAACATAACAAAAGATGAATGCCTTTATTTAGTACTTAACAATGAAACATTTATGTTTAGAGTTTTAAAAATATACCACTTAAATGATAAGGGCGAGCCTTAAATTTAGTAAATTTATTAAAATAAAAATTTTAAATAACAGAAGTGCATATTATTATACTTGAGAATAAAAAGTGAACTATTAACAAGTTATTATCCTGAATTTAAGGTGAGTAATGCAAATTTATCTTAGATGGAAACCGAGAATAATTGTGCTGATTTTGTTTAAATTTTCAGGATATCAAAGAACATATGACAGAATGGATCACCATTGACAATCTGTTTCATCTCCATCCGAAAGTTGATCCAAATGACAGAATGGATCACCATTGACAATCTGTTTCTTCTCCATCCCAAAGTTGATCCAAATGAAAGAATGGATCACCATTCTTCTCCATCACTAAATTGATCTAAATGACAGAATGGATCACTATTGACAAACTGTTTCTTCTCCATCACAAAATTGATCTAAATGACAGAATGGATCACCATTGACAATCTGTTTCATCTCCATTACAAAGTTGATTCAAATGACAGAATGGATCACCATTGACAATCTGTTTCATCTCCATTACAAAGTTGATTCAAATGACAGAATGGATCACCATTGACAATCTGTTCGATCTCCATCACAAAGTTGATCCAACATGCATAGGTGGCCATAAAATGTGTATCTATAAAAACTCTGCTGAATTAAATATGACATAATGAAATGCTTCATTGTCTTTATTGTCCTGGTTGTCCTGTATGGAATATAAACAAATTAAACCAGTTAATAAATTGAAGGACTGCCTTCAAGCTGTGTAAATGGAATAGTGGAACAAGGTATGTTGCAACAGTGGAACAAGGTATGTTGCAACAGTGGAACAAGGTATGTTGCAACAGTGGAACAAGGTATGTTGCAACAGTGGAACAAGGTATGTTGCAACAGTGGAACAAGGTATGTTGCAACAGCAAAGGATATCTCCAAAGACTTTTACTCTGCTCTGTTTCTTGTATTTTCATTCATTCACTGAAGAAGGCTCTAAGCCGAAACGTTCATATCTTGTTGTCCTGACTATTAATTCAAACTTCATCATACCTTGTTCTACTATTTCATAATCCTGTTAAACATGTGTATAAGCTGATACGTTTGCCGGAGCTCTTTATAACAAATGGTGCACAAAGTAAGCAAATCTAGAAATGTAAAATATTTCCACTTTTCCAAAAACAAAGTTGTGGTGCAATTAGGGGGGTTAAATTAATCAACAGATTAATTGCTCCAAGTTTATGATTATGATTACTACCGGTACCAGATTACAACACACTGAAAAACCAATCATTCCATATGGTAGGCCTAATTTATGTATTCACCTAAATAAAGGATCAGCAAACTTATCTTTTTAACTGACCAAATAGTGAATATCTTACTAAGATTCTTGACACTGCAGAACAATAGGCAAACTTATATAACTAAATGAGAAAGATGATGCTGTGTGAGTGTTATGGAGGCAGCCACCTGGGAGACAGTGCTGTGTTATGGAGGCAGCCGGGCGGTGCCCACATTGGAAGATGGGAGGGGGGTGTAAATTTTTCAATCAATATATTTCAATTTATGGGCTCAGGTGGGGTGTCAAGAATAAAAGTCTGGGAAACACTGGTTGAACTAAAGAGAGACAACGAATAGATTCTAAAACAGAAATCAGATTTTTACTCTATCATTTCTTTGTAAGGAGCAAAAGTTATTTCGTTATGTTTTTAGATCTAATAATCTGCAATGGAATTATTGAATCTCCATACAAAAGCATTACCAAATCTGTTTGCAATAGAATTATAAAATCTCACTGCAATAGAATTACCAAATCACTCTGCAATAGAATTACCAAATCTTACTGCAATAGAATTACCAAATCTGTTTTGCAATAGAATTACCAAATCACTCTGCAATAGAATTATCAAATCTCACTGCAATGGGGTTACTCTATTGTAATGAGATTTGTTAATTCTATCTAACTAACGCACATATTCTGGTGAAGGTCTGAGATTACTCTCTTATGACCCCGGCTAGTAAATTGGCTATCAACTCCATCTGTTGAGCTGAGCCATACAACATTTCCCTCACAAAGGATCCTCCAACCGCCCTGGCTTCCCCCGGGAGATCTAGTGCGGGACACTCCGTCAACAGATGTTCTAAGGTCTCTGGGGCCAGGCTCGTCACGGCCGTCCATCCTAGAGACAACAACAGGTTGCTCCAGAAATATGTGCGCAGGGGGCAGTGCTCGGTGCGCATCTGCGTTACTAGACTCTGCACTCTACGACCTAACCCCCACCATGGGTCTTGTTTGCTAGGAGTAGGCAAGTTCGAATAGACGCCTCTGGCGGTCGTGTTGTCAGCCCATTGCCTGTACCACTTCTGCCTGAAGTGGTCCGCCAGCCAGTTTTTGACTCCCAAGAAAGTCATTGGTACTTCTGGCTGAGGCTGGGCTGCCCCGGTTTTCGCCAGAGTGTCAGCTATCTCATTGCCACTGATGTTGACATGCCCTGGTATCCATTGCATTTCAACCTTGCACCCTATTTCACCGAGTCTGCATATGTCGTTGTGAATGACGTCGACCAAGCTTGTGGTACCCTGCCTCTTCTCCAAGATCTCAAGAGCAGATCTTGAGTCTGAGAAGACAACAATATCGAGCCCCGCATGTTCCGTCCCTTCCAGAGTGATATGGACTCTCTCCAAGGCCTTGTGCATAGCTATAAGCTCCGCGTCAAAATTTGACGCTGTAGTCCCACAAGGCCCGGAGAGTTTTTCACTAGGTGGTCCACCTACTGGGTACTGAATAAGCGCACCGTACCCAGCAGTTCTTTTCCTAAAGTCAGCAGAGCCGTCCGTGAACACTTTCACAGGTATGTGCGTGAACACATCCATGGTCTCAAGGGCAGCCACTCTCTGTACATGTTCAGGGCTTCGTTTCGTCACTGCTGCATCTGTCAAGGCCAAATGTATGGAGGGGCGTGAGGGTTCCGCATAAGGCGGATTAACTGGGATTTGGGTCAGACGTTCTCTATTTGGGGGCAGGGGAACTGTCCTCTCCAGCTCCACGACCTGGTGCATGAAAGAGGACCTCTTTAGTCTCCTGCCACCCACCCAGTTATTTTGCATTTGAAAGGCTGGTTCATTTTCACCAAGCCGTCGGTACCTCTCTACGGTATTTAAGATGGATTTTTCCCTCCTAATTTGTAGTGGTTCTACATTGGCCAAGACTTCTACAGCAGCTGTGGGAGTAGTCCTGTATGCGCCACAGATGAATCTCAGTGCCTGATTCTATCAAATAGTTTGAACTCAAGTCGTGATTGGAGGGCCGGGCTTTAGTGGTGTGCGACCTATGCCCTCGCACAGGGCGCCGTGGCCAAAGGGGCGCCTGGCAGCAAATATTTAAATTCCATAAGTTTACTATAGTGCAGTTTGAACTTCGGGTCCAGGATCGAGAAACGATCTTCTAACTTTTCGTACACAGCGTGTGCTTAGGGCGCCATCAACGATCTTCCCAAAATAGGAAACAGCATTGCATGTGGGCGCCATGGAAGAAAAATAGAAAGTGCAATAAAAGAAGATATTCTGATACAGTTAACAAAAACAATTTTATTGTTCATTGTTTGATTTAAAAAAAAGCATAGGTAATAAACTCATTACCGAATAAATAGTTATTCCATTAATGATTATACTAAAATGAAAGCCAAAGTTAAACTTGCAACCGTCGGGCCGGCCCTGGTGATTGCTAGATGAAAAGCGAAGGTCGCCTCTTTCTTATATGCCAAAGAGGTGCTCCATTTCTGTTTCAAACCTTTGACAACAAAAGTATCAATAATATAATATGTATCCAACCTCGACCTACTAGAACTCCAGTGGGTTATGATCCGACTTGCATCCATGTGCTACAAAGAATTCGGCTAAACAGTCATCTTTTCACGTATGCCCACAATCTATTTTTTTTATTTTCCTTAATAAATTTCCACCCTCTTTTCAACATTGTGGAAATTTAATTAATACGTTTAGGAAGGAAATTTTCAACAATTTATGCCGCTATAAATTTAGGAAATGGACAAGACAACAGTAGGCCTATACAGCGAATGCCCACATGCAATGTGGCCAATGACCTATGCCTATGGCGCCATGCCTACAAAGATTGGAAATCACTTTTGTGTGACAACAGAATAAATACAATGTGTGTTGATTCAAACCAAAAACATTTTTAAAAAATGACCAAAATTTATAATACTAGATATTTAAAAAACACAATAAAACAACAATTTTTTATTTTTTTTTGGGGGGGGGGGGGGGCAGCCCATCTTAAAGAGACGACGTTGAAGTTTTCGATGCAAGGTTGCTAAATTACTAGCCCGTATTTCGGTCAAAATTTAACAGAGTTGTGAGTCGTTTTATAATTTACCCTTAAGGCCTTAAGATATGTTGACTTTCATAAAGGCCATTGCTTCGCAACCGTTTCTATAAATTGTTTTACAAAGTTTCACCCCCTACAAAAGGAGCACATTAAAATGCATGGTCAAATTTGAAGAAAACGATGATGAATTCTAAATTTATTTAAGGAATAGAAAAAGAGTTATAGAACTTAGAAAATAAACTTTTCACTTTTTACAATCGATTCATACAGGCAACGTAAAATGTAAACAGTGGCGTAGGAGAGGTCGGTCCGTCCCGGGAGGCATTCCCAGAAAACGAAGTGATTATTCACAGAGCTGTGCGGATAACGCTCGCCGTTATTCACAGATTTCGGTCTGCCGATAACGCTAAACGTTATTCACAGAATGTGATAAATTAATTAATGAATATAAAGTACAAAGTTCG